ACTAGGAAGTTAAGAATCAGAAAACATTGATAAAATATGCAATTAATAAAGAATTGCGCAGAACCCGTAGAAACTTAACAGTAATAAAAACAATGCATAATCATCATCATTGACGTCATAAGAGATATTAACAAATTGAATGTAGTTAAGTAACAGATAGCAAAATATAATATATCCTAAATAACAAAATCTACATACTGAGTTGTAGATATATGAAATTCAAAGTAAATCAAAGGAAGAAAACAGTTTTCAAAACAGCCAGTTTGATAATAAGGCCACACCAATTTAATTTGTTGGTTCTCGGATTTTTTCAGAAAAAATATAAAGCGACAGCTGCAGGGCGAAAAAAAAATAAAAATAAAAACAGGTCTAGGCATCCTATTATAGCCCCAAATGCTACAATATGAGCCATGAAGTCAACAAAAAAGGCTGGGTTAAAATTTAAAGTATAAATTTTGAACTTTTAATCAAACCACTGCATTGATAGATGGAAAAAACTGTAACAACTAGGAAGAAAAGGAATTTCCTCAAAAGTTGGGGGCAAAATATGAGCATTTTTTAGTTGATTCAGAACCAGAATCTTTTTTTTTTTGCAAATCAGAAAAAAATGAAGAGGCGAATCCGAGAACCAACAAATTAAATTGGTGGGGCCTAAATACAAATCAAACAAGGTACAAAAATATGGATGAGACATTATCAATAAATATCATTTTGGCTCAAAGCATCCACCTTTAACCTGCCATTACCAGGCTGAAAAATATCAGCAACTTGCAGGCTTAAAAATACAAATTTAAATCAAAGCTGCCAACTACGAATTGCAGGACAGAAAATAACTAATATAAATAATTTCATTTAAAAAATATGTATTTTTACCATAACCAAATGCAGTGTCATGAAAGTTTGTCATCTTACCACAAAGTTTATCGGCCTGTTGGGGGTTTGATGTGTACATCGGGTTTGGAAGAAGTCTTGTTGCCTTTGGTGGATTGCGAAGCTTCTTTACATGTTCCGTTGTGTCAGGTCTAGAGTCATCTGAAGCCTGTTGGTGAACGTTTGTTGTTGTGCTGAGATAGGTTTCATTCTCACACATGTTTGTAACAGCGTAAGGTTCAATGTCACCATCATCAGTCGCTTTACTGTCTGTGTTTGCAGGATTGCGGAGCTTGTGTACGGTAGTATCATGCGTGGAGTCATCTGAAGCCTTTTGGCGCATGTTTATTGTTCTGCTGAGATAGGCCATGTGATCGGACATGTTTGCAACAGCGTAAGGTTCAATGTCACCATTGTCAGTCACTTTACTTCTTCCTTTTTTAATGATTTTAAAAGTATAAGGTTTGATGGGTCTGTGCCTAGTCTCATTATAACCTTTATCTTGTGTTGTGTGGGGCTGAGATTTGTTAGCCTTTCTGTTGGAGTTGAAATTCATAGTCACTGTACTGTCTGCTTGCATGACGTGCTGTTCTTCTGCAGAGTTTCCAGTAGTGTTACCATCTTCTTCATTTTCCATTGAGGCCGTGTACATGGCAGAGTTTTCAGCATGGATCAGATCAGATGCAGAATATACTTCAGCAACCGCTGGGGTGGGGATATCGTTATTATCTGCCATATAATAATGCTCATTTGTGGTTGTATGTTCGACTTCATTGCCGGCTACATATGTAGCCTCCAACATGTCTTCTCCTTGACTACTGGGAGCCATATAATAATGCTCATCTGTGGTTGTATGTTCGACTTCATTGCCAGCTACATATGTAGCCTCCAACATGTCTTCTCCTTGACTACTGGGAGCTATATAATAATGCTCATCTGTGGTTGTATGTTCGACTTCATTGCCAGCTACATATGTAGCCCCCAACATGTCTTCTCCTTGACTTCTAGGAGCTATATAATAATATAATGCTCATCTGTGGTTGTATGTTCGACTTCATCGCCGGCTATATATGTAGCCCTCAACATGTCTTCCCCTTGACTACTGGGAGCCATATAATAATGCTCATCTGTGGTTGTATGTTCGACTTCATCGCCGACTACATATGTAGCCTCCAACATGTCTTCTCCTTGATGACTAATACAATAGTTTTGGCTATATGTTGACATTCTTGCTGGCTCTGCGGCACTTTTTGTGTGTAGCGCATCCTGATCAGAGTGTAGATTATCTTCATTTTGCCCTGGGCTTGTCAACTCCTTTGGATCATATTTAATTTTTGGATTGTTGTTCGGGCCATGCACTGGGTATATGCAGGTTAGTGCAGGTAAAACTGGAGATGTGCAGGTATTTCTGATGCCTACCTGCACCTAACCTGCACTGGTCCATGTACTGGGTATATGCAGGTTAGTGCAGGTAAAATTGGAGCTGTGCAGGTATTTCTCATGTCTACCTGCACCTAACCTGCACTGGTCCATGTACTGGGTATATGCAGGTTAGTGCAGGTAAAATTGGAGCTGTGCAGATATTTCTCATGTCTACCTGCACCTAACCTGCACTGGTCCATGTACTGGGTATATGCATGTTAGTGCAGGTAATTAAAGTTGGAGCTGTGCGGGTATTTCTCACCAATATCTACCTGCACCTAACCTGCACTGGGCCATGACAAAACCCAGACCTTAGGGGACATACATGTACATGTACATGTACAGGTCCACAGTCAAAATTAAAAATCATTTCTTCATGACCCTTGGTACTGCATTAGATTGTTATAAAATTATAGTTGGGAGAAAAACAGGTCTGACACAGCTCTGTATAAGGCAGACTAATCATAGGATTGAGAATTGTTAATATACATGTTTCATGTACATAAAGTAAAAAATGGCTATATATATTGACAGTAACTATACATCTCACTCAAGGACAAACTCAGAGACCTGTTTCAACTTTCCATGCAGGCTACAATGTAGGCTAGCCTTGGAAGCTACTGGGCCTTGTTAGCTGTACTACAAATATTCTGCAGATAATAAACAAAACATCTCAGACTGCTGTTTATTAATGCTATTCACAATTTCCAACCCAGGGCCCAGCCGGGCAGCTTTTGGAAATGAAAAGCTACTGTACCATAAAAAGACAAAGACAACAAAACACGCAAAAATGTTCTTAAAATTATTGTGAGCAATATTTATGTGTATTTTGAATGGTTAATTTCTTGCCCATGCAAACAGTCCTGAGCCAGGTCCCAGTTTGGAAATGTCAGGTTACCATAAGCTGCACTATTATAATAGCACAACTGTTTCTCCTTATAGCTTTCCTAGTCTCTAGACGTTTTTGTAGCAGAGAGAGGAAGGTGTTTAGATCAAGCAAGAGAGCCAGGGCAAAACACAGATGATATTGTACCTGATTGAGGATTGGCGAAATATTGTGGTCCTGTTTGTGGGTACATACATGTATTTTCCTTTGGTGCTGGTCAAAGTTGTTTTTACTCGAGTGCCAATTGATAATGTCTTCACTCGGCTTTTCATGGGTACAATTACTGTCTCAGCAAGCTCAGATATATTAGGCCTGTTGTTATAGCTTGGCTTAAGGTACATGTAGTGCCTAGAATGAGGGATTCTGTAGATTTAGTATTGATTAGTTTGAAATGAAATATTAGACAACACTCGACATGTCACACTGTTCCTACTACTACTACTAAGGACCTCATCATGACTCCACACTAACCGTTAAATTCAGCCTTGAAAGCTGGAAATACTGGCAGTCTTGGAGACTTTTCCTGGCAGAAATTCTGGTCAGGAGAAACAAGTTCTCTCCAGTCGGCTGTGGGAGAATTTTAAGGTGTGGTGCTCCCGGCTCAGTGGTAGACTAATAAATAGATTAAGAACTGCTGGTGGCACGGACTTACTGAGCTTATGTCTTTCATCTCATCTGATTTTGATGTGTTATGAGTTGATTGGATGGCCCACGCCAATACATTTCCTTGGTTCTTGGTACATGTAGTACCTGTCCTTGGTGCTGAACTCCTGGTTATACTAATGCATTTCCTCATTTCTTTATAAATACCAACAACTAGGTCTGGAGATTAAATTAGTACGGCCTAATCCAAAGGTGTAAAATTTGTGCAACGTGTCATTCCCTGATCCAGCTGCTATGTTGGGGTGAGATCCTGGCAACCTATAGGATCATGGTATTCTGTAATCAGACAATGTACAAAAATGTACAAGGATCTTTCATCTTTACCACGAATTTTACAGAAGATTCATTTTTATGTCTAGCTTATGCCATGTTGGCACAATGTCAGAGAACCATTAGGAAATGCAAATTAGTGTAAGGCCATGTTGATTTGATTATATGGATGACGTCCGCGCGCGCATGAATTTTCGGCCGTTTCCAAAAAAAAAAGTTTTCAACCATACTGTAAATCGTACAAAACAGTTGCGAAATGAGCAAAAATATACCGTAAGTTACAAAAAAAATAATAAAAAATGTCGTACAATGCCAAAATCAAACGGAAAAAGACGAAATTGCAAAGAAATGAACTTGAAGACTAGATTATTCGCCAAACCATATTCTGTCCCATTTGTTCAACCTTCATGACCACGTACATTTCATAATGAAAACAACTTTTTTTTTGCAAAACTTTTTTTTATTTGCACGTGCGCATCAATTTTTGGGCTCCCGGAGGATGTCATCCATATAATCAAATCAACATGGCCTAACCTTCCAATAAAAGCCATTCCTTCTTAATAAAGTCTGGTTTGTTTCATTCTTACTATATACTAGTTCTTAATTACTAGCTAGACATCTTACCTAGAGAAAACCTTTAGTCAAATATGTTGGAGGACACAAGTCATATTTATTAGAAGGTAGTTTTATTTGTCACATTTCTTGACAAAGTTGGACATCTGAAACTCTTCAAAATATTATCCATTGCAAAATTTCCTTATATCGTCAAAATATTTGGAAACAGTATCCTTCATACATCTCGGAGTCTTTTTCCTCTGAAGAACTTTAATCATCAATACAACATTGCAGGCTGAAACAGCCTGAATTGTGTTGTAAATTACATGTACATTCATATTAACAATAACAATTGTAACATTTTAGCGTTAAAAGATTAAGTGTTAAAAGAAGTATATCCGATAATGACGTATTGTATAAAATGTCGATAACACATTAAAATATAGACAATAATTGATTGGAACAACTTTAGGATACAAGTACAAGGAGGCAATAAAATTTTTTTATAAAAGTCTATAGTGTCCTTCAGATTTTTCAAAAGTCTATAGTGTCCCTCATTGCTGCAAGATGTTGAGTGATCTGGGGATAAATGATTGTCTATGTCTCTCTGTACGGCTAAGTGGGATCTTGTAGCTGGAAGTCTGACGGCGTAGTTGGTAGGTTGTCCGTCTACCCGGCTCAAGGAACTGCTGGCAAGGGTGAGTGTCATCCGCCATCACCCTCCTGAGTTCACGTACGGATGCCTCTGCTGTACATTTGCTCTACAACCAATCATGTATTCACTACAGACTTTTCATTGATCGTGCTAGCACCTCCTTTCAACTTGGGAGGCTGTGATCAACCAAAAAGTTACATACATGTATTCCTCAATTTATTTCACAGATAAAGAATTATAGAATAATAAAATCTTAAACTATTTAGTGCTCTGTAGTCTTTGAAATCATACTTTTATATTGTGCATCATATTGTATCTGTAAACTGAAGGGAGACATCCAAGTTTTATCTCTCAACCATCATTGTCTAGGCAAAAGGGGCCTAATGCCACTGAAGGAAACATTTCAGATCTGCAAACTAAACATAATGGCTAGTTTTGCTTTTGTGGTGTGATAATATTATCATTATTTTATCATAACGATTCACTTGGTACCTGTTTCATGATAATATACATGATATGACATGATGCTAATATTACTAAAAGTTATAATTTTTTGATGCTCAAAAGAATTTATAGTTGTACAACTCAGTATAGCCACTGCTTGTAATTTTTCCTGCTAACTACTTTGGACTCTTATGAGACATGTAGTTTAGATTTCAAAACTACTGTTTGCAGTTGTATCAGATGCTGATTTGGATTCATTAACATCTCTTTTCCTTAAAGTTTCTACTCGTCTCCAACAACTGGTCAGAAATTGTCCCAGGTATTATCCCCTGGAACAGCAGCTGCTGTACCTCCAACAGAACCATGTTTTCCACTGCGTGGCTCACTTTGCAATTCTGATGAGGCCTTTTCCTGACCATATGCTTCAGCATATGATGTCACAAAGCGGTCTTGATCGCCACTTCTGTGTGAAAGATCATGTTTCTGGTTAGGTGGAGGCTCTGAACGACCAGGCCTGTGTGGGTAGTGGTCATCCCTAGCTTCCACATAACTCTGAGAGTTCTCAGCAGACTTCTTTACATTCTGATCGTGGGGCAGTCCTGCATGACCAGACCTGTTGGGGTTGTAACCTTCATGACTATGCTGCTTTGTACCTTTTGGAGGAAGGCGGATGCTAGCACTGTCAGCCAAGCCACCAGGTTTGCTTCTGGTCTGCTCAGAGCCCCTGTGGACATTGCGAACTCCCTCCACGTGCCTGTCCTGTGATGTTTCACTTGTCTTCTCCCTGTGCTTCCCTTGTGTTGTGTGTCCAGACGAGACAGAAGTTGATTGTACTGTGTGTCTGGGGGCTTCAGTAGTGTGCCTGTGGTCTTCAGTAGTGTGCCTGTGGTCTTCAGTAGTGTGACTGTGGGCTTCAGTAGTGTGCCTGTGGGCTTCAGTAGTGTGCCTGTGGGCTTCAGTAGTGTGCCTGTGGGCTTCAGTAGGGTGCCTGTGGGATTCAGTAGGGTGCCTGTGGGCTTCAGTAGTGTGCCTGTGGGCTTCAGTAGTGTGCCTGTGGGCTGCTTCAGTAGTGTGCCTGTGGGCTTCAGTAGTGTGTCTCTGCTCTCCTTGGTTACTATAATGATGACTTGTACTGCCTTCTCCAACCCTACTTGTGGCACTTCCATAAGTTGTGCTGCCTTTTCCCACCAACTCAACAGCATGTAAGTACCTAATTATATAAGAAAAAGACATTGTCAAGAATATTAAGAGTTTGACCTACTGTAGATCTAGGAAGGAGCTTTGAATATCACGACAGCTAATTTAATTAAGATCTTAATATGCTTGATTGATATGAGTGAAGATTGAAAGAAACAGAAACAATTATATAGGACACAAAACCACTTACCTGTGGTTCCATGCTTTTGTATGTATGTTGTACTCAATGTGATTTGTATTTTAATTACTTGATATGAAATGTTTAGGCCACACCAATTTAATTTCTTGGTCAACGGATTTTTTCTGGGAAAAAAATGGAGCGGGCGGGTGAAAAGAAAATGAAAATAAAAACAGGCCTAGGCATCCTATTATGGCCCCAAATGGTACGATTATATAGGAGCCATGAAGTCTACACACCAGGCTGGTTTAAAATTTAAATCTCGCGAGATTAGGCCACTCCGTGAACAAGATGGAGTGATAGCCATCGAAAATTTGGAGGTTAGTATCCTTATCCTTCCAAAGTTGTCACTGATGAAAGAATTCACTAGGAACCTTAAACAATGAATTTTGAACTTTTAATGATACCACTGCATTGAAAGATGGAATAACTGTAACAACTAGGAAGAAAAGGACTGTTTTCAACTGCTCAGGGCAAAATATCTGCATTTTGCAGTTGATTCTGAATTTTTTTTTTTTTTTGCAAATCAGAAAAAAATGAAGTGGGCGAATCCGTTAACAAAGAAATTAAATTGGTGTGGCCTTATAGCTATTGTTTTAACAATGTTTTAACATCTTTAAAAATGTGTAAGCTTTGTTTCTTACTTATTGATCTGCCTGTCCAGCCAATTCTTGTGCGGCATCTTAAGCCAAGACTCAGGTAGACTCTTCTTGCCCAGTTTACAGCCCAGCAAGGCTCCTGCCACGGCAGCATTCGTGTCTGCATCACCTGCCTGGGAGTTTGAGACAAAGACATTTTAGATCTTTTGAAGCAACTCACACTCACTCACTCACTGTCCGGTTTATCGTCTGTTGGTCCCCATCTTCTGAGTGTTAGACGTGCTTGCACTGTGGTACTGAGGATTTAAAACAAGTTCTACAAATCTTATTTATCAAATGGAGTCTTACAATAATAAGTTACATGTAATGTATTTTTTATATACCATTCTGGATGCTCTGTGGGGCAAGGCTAAGATTTCATGCTGCGCTATAAATCGTACCAATAATGAAGCAACATTGAGCCCAATGGCTGAAGCCTTGTTGTATTTTATTTATGTCATACCTAATACCAAAATGTGCCTTTCAATGTGAAATGAGCCCAAAGTTGGTGTCACTTACCAAAAAAATGCAACAACATCCAACAAATTCCAACATACATTAATCCAGGAGTATATTCGAATTTTCAAAAGCACCTCACACAGTTTTTTTTTTTTAATCTATTATGTCAGTCTCAGCTTAGCAGCTGTTTGGGCGAAATGTGTTCAAACCATTCTATGGATTCAGTTATGGACGCCAGCTGGGCCAGAACACCATTATCAAATTTCTATGCTTCAAGGTCTCAATCCCTCTAAAGCATCCGGACCAGACCAAATACCACCGTGGTTCCTCAAGTTGACAGCTAGTGAAATCGCGCCTGTTCTAACCAATATTTTCCAACACTCGCTAAACACTGCAGAAATCCCTAAAGATTGGAGGGATGCAAATATATGCGCCATCTTTAAAAAAGGAGATAGAGCGGTCCCCAGCAACTACAGACCTGTTTCACTGACCTGCATATCCTGCAAACTACTTGAACATATTATCCACAGCCAAATCATGAAGCACCTAGAAAGTTACAGTATATTAACGGATTACCAGCATGGATTCAGAGCCAAACGATCCACAGAAACACAGCTTATACTAACAGTCCATGACATAGCTGGCGCACTAAACAGTAAACGGCAGGTAGATTTAGCAATACTTGATTTCACTAAAGCCTTTGATAAAGTCCCCCATGGCAGGCTTATCTCAAAACTGGAGTATTATGGATCCAAGGCCCTACGCTGAATTGGTTAAAGGCTTTCCTGACCAACAGGGAGCAAACAGTAAGTGGTTGAAGGGAAGGCATCGGCTCCAGTTAAAGTAGCGTCTGGGGTCCCTCAAGGAACCGTCCTGTGGCCATTGCTCTTTCTCTTGTATATAAATGACCTACCAGATCAGCTTGACTCAAATGTGAGGTTATTTGCCGATGACTGTCTATTGTATGTAGAGCTTTCTACACAGACCGACTCACAACTTCTCCAAAAAGACCTGAACACCCTGGAAGAATGGCAAAGCAAATGGCTCATGCAGTTTAATCCCGAAAAATGCTACATTATGCACATAACAAACAAACGAACACCACATGCAACTAGCTACCAGTTTTGTGGTCAGGCTTTAGCAACCACAAAAATCCATCCGTATCTGGGCGTCACGCTGACAAGCGGACTGAAGTGGGGTGCACATGTTAATAATATCACAACTAAGGCGAAACAAACATTGGGAGTGATTAAACGTAATCTGTGGGCATGTCCAACTAGAGTAAAATCACTTGCATACACGTCACTTGTAAGACCGAACCTAGAATACGCTGCGACAGTATGGGATCCATATACAAAGAAAGACAAAGACAAATTGGAAAGGGTACAGAATCAAGCTGCAAGATTCTGTATGAACAACTATGTAAGAGGTGCTAGTGTCACGGAAATGAAAAGAAACCTACAGTGGACCTCACTGGAAGACAGAAGAAAGATGTCTAGACTATGCATGATGTACAAAATGACTAATAAACTGGTGGATGTCCCAACTACTAAGTACCTAATACCAGCCCAGAAGAGAACAAGAAATAGCCACGCGTTCAAGTACCAGAGTTATCAACCAAGGATTGAGGTGTTCAAGAATTCATTCTTTCCTACAGAACTATCGGAGAGTGGAACTCACTGTCACCAAGTACAGTAGGGGCATTGTCAATAGATAGCTTTAAACAATGTCTAGAGCTAGAAGTTCAAGGGTTAGGTGTAACAAGTCGATCGGTGTAATATAGCCAGCTGCCGCCGCGCCGCGTGCCTGCGAAGCTGGCTGTTACGCCGAAAGGCGGTTATACCGGCTATACAGATACAGATACAGATTATCACAGCCTGGGTATGATATAAAACGAAATCTATCCTGTACCTCCATGGTGATCCTCTCTATAGTTGTGCGGAAGTCGTCCTGCCGTAGTGCCCAGAACCCGGCGCTCAGAGTCTTGTACGTGTAGCCGATCACACCTGGGGCATCCAGCTGGAGTTCCTGTAACTGTCTGGGGTCCATGTACCATCGTAGCTCATCCACTTGCTAAGGAGAGAGGAGTATAGGACAATTTAGACCACTGTACTGACTGACTTAATTTTATGGATAACATCCACTTAAGACCCCAACTAATGAGAGCTGGCATATAAAAAAAAAAGTCCACCCAAACAAAATGCTGCTAAACCACAGGAATACAAAGCTGGTACATGTATTGTGAATGTGCTGGTTGTAAACATTACATGACTAACTTTAGCAACAAGCTGGTACATTCTGGCCATTTCCAGCATTTCTGAGTCTGTGCTGAGTTCTAGAGTTCTGTGGAATTTCGGCAGCCTGGGTACCATCCTCCATAGTTACTGCCGGCTCCCTATTGGGATGTCGGACACTTCGGCACCTGGACACTTCGGCACTTGGGCACTTCGGCATCTGGACAGTTCGGCACCTGTACACTTTGGCACCTGCATACTCCGGCACCTGGACAGTTCGGCACCAAGCTCAGGACGGTTCGGCACTACAATGACAGAATGCTGCTGTTGGTTGCTGAACCGTTCTATGACTTCCAGCGAAGATAGTTATTATGTCAAAAAAAGCAAGGAGTGAAGAAGCCATCCAATATGTTATGCAGAACAGATACCCAAACCTGTTATTATTTCATCATTGTGGCTAATAAATGAAAACAAACTTTTAAAGTTGTAACAGGACAGACATATTAAGGTTAGGCCACACCAAGTAAATTTTATGGATGACGTCCTCGCCCTCATTGATTTTGGCCTGTTCCTAGAAAAAAAAACAAGAAATTCCATGCACTTCCTGTAACTATTACCAAAGAGTCACGATAGGGCCGCAAATAGGTTTGTATGGACCAAAGCTTAAGAAGCATCAAGCAAGGAAATCATGACTTCCATTAGGAATTCAGTTTGGTACATGCTGCCACATTTGAAGAAACTTGCTGACCGCTCCATCTATCTCCCCAAAGCACAAGACGACAACTGCTGTTCCACCTGATTTATTGCTGTTTTGATGATGAATAAGACTTCTTGCTTGTTACACTGTGTCACCTCATGCAATTTGTGTCCTAACATTTGTCGTCTCTTAGTATATTTCTAATCTAGGCATCTTGTTTTTTAGGGCCCTTCTTGTTTTTTTTTCGCCCTCTCGCATTAGATTTAGGGTCTCCAAAGGACGTCATCCATAAAATTTACTTGGTGTGGCCTTATAGTCTGTCACTGTTTAATGTTATTTTGATGCAATATTCATCTTTGTAGACTGTTTACCATTAATGTTTTGATGTTTTTTCCCCGCGCGTGGGACACGTCCCTAGCAACAGTAACTAACAACTTTTGGACCACAACACTGCCCCTTCCATATTGCTTTTATTGTTGTACAACACTGAGTCGTTGCGTACTCGGACGTATAGTAGTTAAAGAAAAGATATGGGATAGTATGACTTTCGCGATAGGGTCAGGTAGATTAAACACCGTTTCACACATAGTGTATCGGGCTGTCCAGGTGCCAAACCGTCCTGGCGGCTGGGTGCCGAACCATCCTGGGTCAGGTGCCGAACTGTCATGGGCAAGGTACCGAGCCGTTTTGGGCCAGGTGCCGAACCGTCCTAGATGGTGCCGAAGTGTCCAGGTGCCGAAATGTCCTGATACCCCCTATTGTCACTTAAGCTACCACGGACTCTTTAGAACAGGTGAAAATCAATGCATGCACAGATGTCATCCATAAAATTAAATCAGTGTGACAAAATGTCGACAAAAAAGTAAGTCACATACAATAAAAATGTGTACCTTTTTGTGGTCCAAGTATGCCGATGCATGTCTGAAACTATTGTGAATGATGTTTTCCACATCTGTCTCACCCTGCAACATCTGGGCAATGGCAGTGGTGACAGCAACGCAGGAAGCAACACACCTAAAATGTTTAATGTGAGAATACGAGAACTGCACCTTCAGTGAGTTCAAACATAAACAAAATATGTCAAGCCAGCTAGGCTTTAAAACTCATTACATTTGCTGTCAAGATATCTTTACTTTCAATTTCTTCAGTCTTTACTATTGTACAAGTATGCACTTGTTTAACCTTCTCCCTGCTGCTGCCTATTCCCCATAACTAATGGAGAATTGGTCTGAACCAAATGGCTACCTCAGTGAGCTAAAGGTAAAAACATACAGTCACCCACTAACCCTTAGACTTCAGGTTCATACATTCAGCTCAGTTTATGTTTAACTTATCATTCCTCAATGGTGAAAGTTGTTACCTTGGATCTGCATGTGTTGTTTGGCAGAAGAGTTTGGCGTTCTCCGCGACAGAGTCCAGGTCCCAGAACTGGTGTACCCCAAGGATGGACGTCCTCATCACCGCTCCGTTGGGGGCCGCTGCCTGACCTGTACTCTCCCAAACCTCCCGCGCAGCCTGGAAGTATGAACATGCACTAGTGACTGTGAGAGTTAGATTGACTATTAAATAAACTACTAAGTACCTACATGTAATACCAGCTCAGAATCATTTGGCTCAGGGGCAACCAAACAGTAGCCAACGTTGCTGAATACCAGTGAGTGAGCCAACCACAGCAGACTTCAAATGAATGCTCCTGACTGACCCCTAACCATGGATGGGGAGTTCTGCAGTGTTTCAGAGGCCATATTCTGCTATTGTGACAGGGGCATTCCTGGTAAGGTCTAACCAGGTGTGCAAGTCAAGTCATTTATTGCACAACAGTGTTGCATTGGATACAATGTATGGCAACTAAAACTTAATAACTATAAACTATTTCTACTTAAGGCTTGAATCTAACTTAATCATACTAGTACATTATACAAAAGAGTCAGACTGTGTCATAGCACCATGACGGGGTCGGCCCTATGTTACGACAGCCCTATGTTACGACAGCCCTATGTTACGACAGCCCTATGTTACGACAGCCCTATGTTACGACAGCCCTATGTTACGACAGCCCTATGTTACGACAGCCCTATGTTACGACAGCCTTACGACAGCCTTATGTTTTGACGCCCCCTTTTTTCAACACGATTATGGCTATGTTCAGACACCAAGTGGTAAATTGTAAATGTATTGAGTGTAATGATCTCGAAGGAAATTTTCACGTTATATATTGTCACTGACAGTGTTTCCGCCAGACTGCAGCTGAGAGATCCTGAGAGGCCGTCCAGTTGGGAAGGGCCGGGTCGCGAAAATTAATTAAGTTGTGGAACACGTCGCGAAAATTAACTGAGGGGGCGGGGCATTTGTTTACACTTGTTTACAAGTTGAAACTGTCCACAAGCATTCCACATTTTTCACAAGTATTGACATAAAAACACTGCTACAAATGGCAAACGTATCGTCAGGAATACTTAATTAGGACATTCTGCTGCAAAACTCCAAACATCGGCATCATTTATTTTAATTGTAACCTCCGGCAAGGAGATAGCCGGATTTTAATAGTGAAGAGCCTGTTGCTTCATCCCTACTTCTTCCGTACTAGCAACATTTCCGCTACAAATTACTAGTTTATATCACGCCAAAAATACATCAAAACATATAAAGAAGCGTCATCTTATCTCTCATACACGAGACAAATTTTGAAAATAATTTGGCCGTATCGTAGCTTTCATTGCTCTTTTATTCAACAAAAGTGCTCCTTGGTTGTAAATGATCACTGATCTGTTGTCTCCAGTACAGTTTCAAATGGTAGCGTGATCGTAGCGTGCGAAAAATCGGCGTTAAAAGTCAGAAAATCGCCGGAAAATAACTTGCAATAACAATAGCTGTCGTAACATAGGGCTGTCGTAACATAGGGCTGTCGTAACATAGGGCTGTTGTAACATAGGGTTGTCGTAACATAGAGCTGTCGTAACAAGCAATGTGAAATATAGTATTCCATCATAACATGGTACAATTGTAACTTACATGTGTATATTCAGCTTTTGTGCATGACTGTGCTACAATTGACATACCATGCAGTAACAATGACTAATGACAGCAGTATTAATCACTGTACAATTGGTGCACAGTGAAGTTACTGTAAAAATACTAAACAGTGTAATAGCTGAATGTTCTTTGGGGTGCCAGTCAATTATAATGTATTTTGTTAATCAATCTTACCAATTGAATGTATTTGCTGGTCCAGTACTTATTATTATCAGAGGTTGAATATAGTAGCCTTAGGCCACACCAATTTAATTTCTTGGTTAACGGATTCGCCGCTTCATTTTTTTCTGATTTGCAAATAAAAATAAAATTCAGAATCAACTGCAAAATGCTCATATTTTGCCCCGAACAGTTGAAAACTGTCCTTTTCTTACTACTTGTTACAGTCATTCCAGCTTTCAATGCAGTGATTTCATTAAAAGTTCAAAATTCATTGTTTAAATTTTGAACCGGCCTGGTGTGTTGACTTCATGGCTCCTATCGTTCCATTTTGGGCCATGATAGGATTCCTAGGCCTGTTTTTTTTTTCGCCCGCCCGCTCCATTATTTTTCTAGAAAAATCCGTTAACCAAGAAATTAAATTGGTGTGGCCTTAGAGGTTAATATTAACCTCTAACGTAGTCTACACTGTATTAATTCATCCTCAGAATTAAGCCATGAACTTTGAATCCTTGATGAGAAACAGTAACTGTTCCTGTCAAATAATGAGTGACTCCTCTGTATCATGTTAATTTGATTGGCATCTTCTACATTGATCTGTAATGTTAGTTACCTTCTGTGGATTGTGGAAGAACTCAGGATGAGTCAGCACGGTGTGTGTGGTTCGACCCAGACCACACCCGCCCCTGTCACCCAGCTCACGAAACCCGTCCAGCATCCAGGTGTACAGGTCTCCAGAGAACGTCCTCAGGGCCTGGTCACTCACCTGAACAGGGTCAAGGTCAAGGTCATACATAGTGTAGTGTGCCAAAAAGAGTAGTGTGCACGCAGTTATATATGACGACTCCAAACACAATAGTGCAGGTAAGGCCACACCAATTTAATATGTTGGTTCTCTAATTTTTTCAGAAAAAATATGAAGCGACAGGGCGAAAAAAATAAATAGACAAACAGTCCTTTTTCTTCCTAGTTATTCCATCTTTCAATGCAATGATATCATTAAAAGTTCAAAATTCATTGTTTAAATTTTAAACCAGCCTGGTGTGTTGACTTCATGGCTCCTATCGTACCATTTTGGGCCAAAATAGGATGCCTAGGCCTGTTTTTATTTTTTTTTGCCCGCCCACTCCATTATGTTTCTAGAAAAATCTTTTAACCAAGAAATTAAATTGGTGTGGCCATATGAAGTAATTTTGAGTGCTGGAACATCCCACCTTGCCCCGTGCACGGGTAAGTGCCTGCATGATGAGAATCATCTGATCGCTGTCGTCAGTCCAGTCCCCGGTTATCCAGCTGTTACGGTGTCTGTCTGAAGCCTTCATGTCATACTCTAGCGGCCGCCGGTAGTACTGCAAGATTAGCAATGTCCTCGCATTAGTCTCATATTACATGTCCAAGCAGAGGTTTAAACTTGGGCTTGATTTTGACTTTTTTTACGCATTTTTATCCGGCATCCTTTTTTGTAGTCTGGTATATTTTTTATGTCACAAAAATGGATTCTGCCCTGCAATTTGATACTGTCTTGCAGGCACCAAAATATCTGCTTGGGGATCATTAAACTGAGCATGTAGATAAAGGAACATGTCTATACATGTACTTGTCAGAAATTTACATTACACACATGATACTCGTCAGAAATTTACATACTTGTCAAAAATATACATACATTTTGTACTTGTCAAAAATTTACGTACTTGTCAGAAATTTACATACTTGTCAGAAATTTGCATACTTGTCAGAAATTTACACACTTATCAGAAATTTACCTACTTGTCAGAAATGTGCATACTTGTCAGAATTTACACACTTATCAGAAATTTACCTACTTGTCAGAAATTTGCATACTTGTCAGAAATTTACACACTTATCAGAAATTTACATACTTGTCAGAAATGTGCATACTTGTCAGAAATTTACATACTTGTCAGAAATTTACACACTTATCAGAAATTTACCTACTTGTCAGAAATGTGCATACTTGTCAGAAATTTACACACTTATCAGAAATTTACATACTTGTCAGAAATTTACATACTTGTCAGAAATTTACATACTTGTCAGAAATTTACACACAGTCTTATAGTAATGACTCAAGAGATTCAGGCATTTGGTATTGTAGAGATGATAAATCTGATGAAGTCTCTGTCTTAATTTTGCATGTAAGGGCTTTTAATGTGGAGCAACCCAAATAACTTACCCGGTAATCCAAATCAGATATGTTACACAGATTAAATTTCCAAACATTGCTAAAACCAGAGGTTAAGCCCCATACATCAATAGCTACCACAGTACTAGTATCTAATATTAACCCAAGGACATTATGATTAACCATATGTGTTTGTGTTTAGTAAAAGTCCATTGCATTGAAAGTGAAAGTATTGATAACTTGCAATTGAAAGTGAAACTATTGATAAGTATGCCGAGACTAACTTGGTGAGCCTTTCTCTTATCCATGAACTCTGTCAGCAGACCGATGGCGTCTCCTGTACACTGTCCATAGATAGTCCCGTACACTTTGTCCAGGTCTACATCCATTCTTACATGGCTGGCTGGTCCTATAGGGCTGGCCATACTTCTCACAGCACGCTTGCCTGAAATATACGAATAGAAGTCTGGCATCAAGTAATGTACCTACGTCGCGTATGTTTTTGACAATGTACATGTAACTTCCCCCTTAGCAAGGGTGCCAAACTCATAGCACACTGGACACCAAGTATCCAGTGAGCCTGGCTCACTGAGATACTTTGTGTCCAGTGTGCTATGAGTTTGGCACCCAGGCTACTCCCCCCTAAGCGGCAATTCACTAGCCTATACCAGGCTTCGCGAAGCAGCTCTCGGAAAGCTAAAACTGTTCTCTGACAGTCCTCACTCCTCTGGTATATTATCTGCCGACTTGGCTACTGTTTCCAGCCGCTTCCCGAAGCCTGGCAGAGTCTAGCTATTCACCCAATTTCTGTTGTTATGCGAGACTTTGCAGCGGAACTCTGAACCCGGAAGTGCGAGAAACTCACCTTTTCTTGACTCTGAATGGAGAAAAAAATATGCTCGGACCCAAATCGTGGCTTAATCTAATACCAGGATTTCGTCTTGCACTGTTAATGTGCTATCATGAGGGACACATACACCGAAACTTGCAGTACTATTAGCTTAAAGTTTCGTAGTAGTTGCAGTTGCAATGCCTTCTTGGAAGGTGCACCGAAACTGACCCTGGCCTGGGTGAGGGTGGTATAGCTATGACGTCATACCAGTTGACCAATCACAGCCCGCTTTCCCGACGGCCCAGCGAAACTGTGGGTTTTTCCCAGGTAGGTTTTCCCCCGTGACTTAGTCATCGTTGGAAAATCCCTGAGCTCACCTGTACCTGTTTTCAACAGTCTGTGATTTAGATTTTGCAGAAGTTGGACTGTTCCAGTGACGACGATATTAAGCCATGGAATACGTACATGGAAGATCGTATTACGGTAAGTTGATAAAATTTCGGGACTCCTCAAATGTACCTTGTTTTTGGCCTATTTCAAAATGTAAAAATGAAATGAAGACGAAAACTGTGCTAAGAACTGACGGTGAATGTCAGACAAATTTTCTCATACCGAACATTTTTGTTTTACGGCCCTGGCAATGCCGTTGTGTGTTACATGAATGGACTTTATTTCTCGACAGTTGTACATGGTATAATGTATGGCCGCAACAATGACGATGTGAACAACACAATCAAGTCTATTCTAAGTGACTACTAGTATTTCTACCGGAATATGAACGTAAACAGCGTATGACATGATGTGCGTTATGCGTTGCTATCAGTGTTACAATACTTTCTCTCTTTTGTACATGCAACACTGAGTTACTCCGAGGGGCGGTTATGCCGGCTATACAGATTCAGATACAGCAATATTGGATGCCTTTATTTATTTGCTATTTTGTTGTACAGGTCGCAAGGGAAGAGCACACACTGGGACCAGACCTGATGCCAGCCATACCCCCGGACTAGTACGTGAGGTCCGGCCGGCAAAACTGAATCGCTACAGGTGCGAGTACCAGCGGCGCTGTGCGCGGTTTAGGGACTCACTCGGTCTTCAGGGTAACGTATAATGGACCTTCAACTGTTTGGATTAACATGGAAAAGAATAACAATTTTCCTATATACTTATTTCTTCTTTTGCAATTTTAGTTACTTGTACAATGGAAGCAGATAACTATTCCAAATATTTTTTTCTGTGTACTCTCTATAATGCCAATGTTGTAACACTGTTCTAATGTTGGCTTGTCACCTAGATGGTTAGATACGTGTTAACCGCTGCTCAGTTTCAAGTTAAGACTAAACCAGCACATCTCCTACAGTTGAATTGTCGCACCTTGTTTAAGGTTAAATGTTCCCCTCAGTACGGCACCCCGTCCTCGGGCGGACTTCGGGTTTCCCACACCCCACCCTGCAGCAGCACCTGTCAATCAAACACGTCAGGCACTTTCAAAACACAGATCTAAAGAGACACGGACTATTGAATGACTACTGCACGAAAAAAGAGAAAACAATTCAAGCATGAAGTTATTATAAGCTGAACGAATCAAATATGTATTTCTGTATGACTAATTAATTAAGTAAACCAAACTTTACATTAGTTACATTTACTATAAAGCTAAACGTCCCTACCCGCTGCCTCTATACTGTACGTTCCCGTCCCCGGTACAGTGAAGTGTTGTATCCCGTCATGTAGCGTCACCAGGTGTTCATGGTCCTGTCCCCTGTAGTGGGTACCCAGGGTAGTGGGGCCCAGACGGCCGCTGGCGCCCAGGGTGGTCAACTTGGCAGTTCGGAAGTAAGAGTCTAAGAGGGAAACAAAAACGCTACAGTGTTCATCAGATATTCGAGAACCTTGGTTCAGGCTAAACAACATAGGAAAATTTCAAGTCAGTATCTCTAAGAACGGATACCAGTTACCATGTTCTTCTTTTCATTCCGTGAGTGGATGCCATCTATTCAACTTTTTCAAGTAACTACATGTATTTGATGTAGGTTTATATGGAGAGGTTTTTGTCCAAACGTCTGCCTGGGCATGGGTGCCTTCAAAATCGAAATTTGTATTTTTACTCTTTAAACAATAATGCTGAACAACGTACCGACAATGTCGCCAAGGATCATTTCCCTTTCCTCCCTTTCCGTCCTAGGATCAAACCTGACGTTACTGATGTCGTCAGGAATGTCCGGGGTTGGACCTTTCAGCAGAGACTCCAGCCGGGCCGTTACGTCAGAGTGCACGTTCTTGATGACGTCAAAGTCACTGCCATGCTCCACGACTTTCTGTGAGAAGTCCACTGTGCTGGACAGACAGCCTAAGGTGCTCTCAACACTGTCTGCTGTAGCAGAGAGCTGCTTGGAACGGGCTGCTGTGGCTGCCGCTAACTTTTCTTTCAGTTCAGTCTGCTTGCGTCTGACAAGGCCAGTGTAGTACTTGATCTCTTCCTCCGCAGCTGCATCGATGTCGTCTGCAGCTTTCTTGCTCCTGGTGTCCAGTTCTGCTTGCTTCTCAGCTACGATCCCTGCAGCGTCTCGGTATTCCTGAATTTTTGGCCTGGTAGCTTCCAGTTTGCCTTTGATCTTTGCCCTAACGTCACTCACAATGTCTGTCAGGTAGCCGTACTTGTGGTCTTTGTGCTGCAGTACCGTGCAATCTCGGCAGATGGGACTCTGGCACGTCTCACAGTAGAACTTCAGCTTCTCGTCTTCATGTTTGGGACACATCGGCAGAGATCTTGACTTGGCTGATGACGTCTTGGTGATCAGTTGCTCTTTTAATTCCGCCACTCCGATGACTTCATGGTCACGTGTACGCTTGGCACGACGATGGGCACGAGTACATTCGTCACACAAGAACTCTTCACACACAACACAGCCGCTGTTAGCCACTTCTTCTTCACAGACATCACAAGACACTTTGTTATCCTCCTTGCTAACCAAACTCTTGTGAGCGTCAACGGTGTCCCTCAAGCTCAGGACAAAGAAGTTGTTTTTGAGCCCGGCGACACCGCCCCCCCGAAGTACAGTTTCGATCCGACATGTTGGACACGGAAACTTGTCCTTCGCCTCACCTTGTTTTGCTACAAACTTCTCCAGACAGTCCTTACAGAAGGTGTGAAGACACGGCAGGATCTTGGGGTCCTTATAGGGCTCCAGGCAGATCGTACACTCCAGAAAGTCGCCCGAAATCTGGCTGAGTACGGCCTCCGCCATGACCGCACCTGTACGCCTCACGTGCCTTCAGTGAGGAGGTGGACTTTGCTCACTTATCCGGGGTGAAGAATAGGTCACTAACGATTAAAAATACAAGCTTTACGATTATTCAAAAGGCAAATAAGTTTGGACATAAACATCTAATGCCAAGTTACATGTACTTGAATATAGTGTGCGACATTAACGAAATGATTTTTATGGGCCCTCCTTTTCAATCAAACTTTTATATTTTGTTGTAATAAATTGAATGTCGTCGGTATTATAAGTCAGTACGATAATCATACTAACAGCTACGGTTTTGACGAACAAGAAGTCTTCAATTTCAAACGGAGAAAGTATGAGGGCTGGTCATTGACCTTTATACACGAACACCTGTAATGGTCACGGGACTTCACTAGTTTGTTTATCGGTGTTCGGTACAAAGGTAAATTTGAGCTGGCCGTTCTACCGTTGAGTTGTCGCTGGAATATATGGTAAATATTGCCATTTTGTGAGCGCTATTTCGTGCATGTTACCGGGAAAATCGTTTACGAGTGATCCTTGGCTACTTGTATGTGCATCTATTACATTTCGTATCTGAGAGGGGGTTTAAGTTCGGTTTCTCATATTAAATGTTTACATGCACAATGGCAATAATCACAGCTACAGTAGAACAGACTATACTTCGGTCGACTTGGTTGTCTGTATTCTAACGAGTGAAACTTCTACTAGTAGCAATACACTAGCCTCTACCAGGCTTAAGAAACGCCTGGAAAGAGTAAACATTGGCCCAAGAATCAGGAGGTGGTCCGCAAAACTCTATTCCTTTGGCGGACCAAATCCCTGGCATATTATTCGCCTACTAGGCACATTTCTACTCTTTCCAACCGTCACTGAAGCCTGGTAGAGGCTAGTCACCCCCATTGATAACGAATGAATGAAGATCTTTATTGCCTTGCTTTGTTTCACACTCTTCTCAGACTCAGAGAACATGGCGTGGCTACAGGTGTTTTTCGTGGGCGTGGCGGTGACCTTTGCCCTCAGTGACGTCAGTCTTGATGGAAGCCTGGAGGCACGTGAAAACCGTATCCGTATGGAACGCGGCACCCCATTGGACAAGACAGACGTGACGAAGCTGCCTGAAACGCAGTACAAGCACAGCCCCGAAAGAGATGGACTCAGTAATAGAGATGACGAAAGCGTTATAGAACATAATTTGGAAATCAACGTAACCATGTTTGATGGCGATTGTCCCAAGGGGTGTTCGTGTAGTTTTTCCACCGTTACGTGCTTTGGCGTGCTAGACTCCTTCCCTAAGTTCCCACCAGACACAACCCGTCTGGTTCTGTACTACAACAACTTCACAAGCGTCCCGCCCAATGCCTTTCCCGGCCTGGACAAGCTTCAGTACCTGATGATGCCCTTTGGAAAAGTGGACTTCATAGAGAGCGGTGCCTTCAGCGGTTTGGGCTCTGTGACTTTGCTCAACTTGAGCACGAACGCTATTCACTCACTCATCAGCACCGCATTCACAGGTCTGGACAACCTACAGGCTCTCGACCTGGTCTCTAACAAAATCGACTCTTTTGGTGACGGAGCCTTCGGGCCGCTGAAGAATCTCAAATTCCTACAGATCACACCAGTGACTTCCCAGTATCCGTACAGCGCGTTTAACAGTTTGGTTAACCTCGAAACCTTACATGTCCAGGACGGCAGGTTTTCCGCCGTTCCCGGCTACGCGTTTTCGAGCATGAAGAAGCTAACCACTCTCATCATAGCAGACAACCCAAACCTGGCTACCATCCACCCAGAAGCGTTCTCTCCCGGCACGCTGAACGCATCACTGACTAACATAGACCTTGATCATTGTAACCTTCGCGAGATCCCTTCACAAGCGTTCCGCTATGTCCAGTCTCTTCGCTCGCTCTCTGTGTCTAATAACCCTATAGGCCAGGTCGACGACAACGCGTTTGCGAGCCTCCCAAACTTGCAGTTTCTCAACTTACAGGGACTCGGGTTGGCGGTTCTGTCTAAAGATGCCTTCAACGGCCTCGACAGCATCCAGAGTATCTACATGGACAGCAACAACCTGCTTAGCCTCACCCCGGACCATTTCAGCGGCTACGTCAAGACGCTGAAGACCGTGACTTTGTCCGACAACCCCTGGCACTGTGACTGTGACTTGTGGCGCTTCAACAGATGGCTGCACACGGAGACTAACATCACCGTGTACCAGTCGCTGGTGTGCGCGACCCCTGGACAGCTCAGAGGCCAACAACTCGACAAGATTACTGCAACTCAGGCAGGCTGTCGCTAGGGTCCAGGCAAACCTGAATTCAACCCGGTTTAATTGGAGTATAGCAAAATCAAAAAGGAGGAAAACTAGCCAGGAGAAACGAGTTTTCGTAACTATCTTTTTTTTTTAACTTTTCGACGTTACTAAGACATAGACAAGTTAAGAGTATAGAAAAAGGATGTGCCAAGCTACCCACGACAGGTTACTGTCCGAGTGCTCCCACCAACCCACTCCTGCCAACCTAACCGCGACTGAAGACTAACTTTCCCGACTTAACTCAATAAAGCAAAGCAATACTTGACTGTGGCCTTTGTCATCTTAGGACCTACCGACATACGAAATATTATCACTATCCATATATATATAGATATATATATATATTATACTGACCACAAATTTATAGAAACACACACACAGAACAAAAACAATACCTCCATTTTACATGGATAATAGATGAAATTTCTTTCACTCTAACTAGAGAAATCTCTGGTGTAAACCAGTCCTCTGCAAGCGAATACAGATGATGATTAATTCGCCCCTAAGATATTCTTTGAGAGGTGACAGCGACCATTGTCTGTCCTTCTGGGGTTTCAGACCAATCCTTTGTCTCTGGCTGCATCTGCTTGAGGGTAAGAATGCAAATAATTGGCCCCTCCACATTTTTTTTTGGTCTTTTCAGATTGCTGTTAACCCTTGGGCCTCTCCCTGGGGGTGTCACGAGTTTTCCATTAAGAGATTCTTTATTGACACAACAAAAAAGTACAAAGACTTTTGTATGGTCTTCTACAACTTAACTAAAGATCTAACAAAGCTAAATACATGTGTGGATAACGCCATCTTACGTACAGAGTATATGTATAATGTAACATGTATAATATTCTCTAACATGTGTTCTCTAAGATCGAAACATTCTTTAATCAAGTGAACATTTGAACAAGTGAACAACTTAAAGATGTTTTTAGATATTTGGCCTATGCATTTTAATATGTTCGAAAGGCTTCAAGGAACGTGTTAACAAACAGGGCTCTAAACTTCTGAACTCTAAATACTGTAAGAGACTCTTACAGAAACAGAAATGACCAGAACGATCGACCGCGGACCTTACACCAATTTTCACACTCTTTAATGTGATTAGTGTCAACCTGTTCTCCCAGTTCATTAAGTAACGCTAAAGATGTCACTCGAAACGTGCGGAAGTAATATCCGTTTTTATCCTGTAGTAGTAGCCTCCTTCGCAGTCTTGTTGGGCGTCGGCGTTATTTTTTCTCTGAGCGACGTGAGTAATATGCGGCCGCGAGGGACGATTTGCTGCCGAGGGAGTTTTTGCCACAGAGAGCCAGTAAATACTCTCCCCCGCCTACGTTTCAATGCCTATCTGTACCGGTATAGCCGGTTTAACCGCCATTCGGCGTAACACGCCAGTGACGTGGCGGCAGCTGGTTACTAGTATATAACACTGAGCGACCTGTTACACCCAAAAGTGTAATAGGTGTCATATATAGCCGATGTAGGTGGCGCTTTTGCGACGAGAACTCATCCCAAACGTGGCTAAGTTTGTGTATCCTCCCTTCATGAAGATGAAGATAAAATCGTTTTGTTGTTGCTCATGTTTGTAAGTTTTAAAATAATTTTGACTTTCAAAATTCAAAAGGGATGCCTTGAATTAGACTGCCTTATTATAATCTCCTGTAAGTTTGTATTAAATGATGCAACGTTACAAAGTTGAGTTGTGAATTGTGGCACATTGTGGCACTAGAATTGGACACAACATAATGATTTTGACTTTCAAAATTCAAAAGGGATGCCTTGAATTAGACTGCCTTATTATAATCTCCTGTACGTTTGTATTAAATGATGCAACGTTACAAAGTTGAGTTGTGAATTGTGGCACATTGTGGCACTAGAATTGGACACACATAATGAATATACGTACGATAAAGGTCTTTCGTCCATTTCTTTATTTACTCATCTATCCATTATTTTACCATGATGCGCCACTTAATTCTGGCCAGGTACCACACGTGAATGACACAATGTAAAATTCCCTAACCCTATAGAATCTCATTATATTACAGCAGCATTATATTTCATATAACCTCCCACTCGTCCGATAGAAGAGCTAATCATATACATGTACTAGATTATATCGTATTGCCCCTGCAGATGACATGTTCTTCCCTGAGAGGGACATGTGCTACTGTCCGTCCTGTCACGCAGACCGGGGAGACATCGAGATCTACCAGCGCGGCAACCCGCCCAAACCGTACGTCCTGCCGCTGGGCTGGAGCCGATTCGCCTTGCAGTAAGGAAGAATTCACTACACAAAATCAATTCTTTACCCACACATTAAAGTTTCGTTCTTTCACTCTCGTATATACCTTAAGTTTACTCATGCTTTAACCCTATCTGGACCGGGCTTTTTTAGGTTTGGTGGGACCGGGAGGGGTCTCATTCGACCCCCCCCCCTCAGAACTCGCGAACGGTATGTCGTATGACGACCAAATTTTCAGGGGATGTTATACTAGTAAAAATTTATCATATCTACAATTTTTATGTCGTTATGACGTAATATGACGTCATTATTGTGATTTTATTGGCCAAAACCGTCTAGATAGGTTATTCCCTGAAAACTTAATGGTATACAGCATTACTTTACCAAAAGTGTTTATGACAGAATATTAGGGTGTACTAAGTCTTATGTTGCCCATAGCAACACCGGTGACGTCATAAAATGACGTCATGCATATTTAAGCTATCCGCCATCTTGGATCATCAATCTTGAATTTTCAAAACATAGTTTTTTCTTCAGGATAAAGTACATTGTAAACAGACGGTTAGAATTCATTATCAATAACCATTCTCTGTTCTCCAGAGTGCCCCTGCCGCAGGTGAAACTACCCCGGGGCGGGACGGTCGCGGCGTTCGACAGTTGGCAGATGTGTTTCCACGGCACGCTGAGGGACAACGTCAAACCTATCCTGGACACCGGGGGCCTGCGCCGCCCGGGTAGGGACCGACCCTGACTGCCCATCACTGTATTATGCCTATTACCAGTTGAGCCAATGACAGAATGGCGTTCGACCAATGAAAGAATGGTTGAATTTATGCAAAGTATTTGTGGGCGGGGCTACTGCAGGTGTTTTATGGCCCGCTCAAGGCCTACAGCAAATATTTGACGGACATGCAGTCCACTCTCTCATTGGTCGTACCGCTAATTGCCCTTCTCTCATTGGTTAAACTTTTAATTGTGATGGACATTCAGGGTCGGTCTTTTGCGGGGTCTCTGATCTCTGTATAAGGGGCACTATAGTTATTTCTTGTGTTCATTCAAATGTTAGAGAGAGAGAAACAAACGAGATATTGGCTGTTATGATTTAAGTACATGCTAAGACCTGCAAAAACGCCAGTAATTCGCTTATGTCTGTTTGTATTTTCTCTCCAACCCACACTTTACATCCGTACTTAATCTTATAATGGTGGGAGACTGATAGTGCGTAAAAAAGTTATATACTTGAAAAGCTAATTAGGTCCATTAAATCATTAAATGGGAGGAAAATCATATGTGATATGCTTGAATTTTTAGGAGATGACATTTCCGGAGGAACCCTCAGCCAGAGGAACGGCCACTATAACGAGGAGTGGAAACCAGAAGGGTTCGACACGCTGCAAGTCTTCGTATCGCCCAGCATCCGCTACTCTTCCAAGGACGCCTACTCCTCCCCATACACGTACGGTCCATATTTGTTTACTATCATGAAATTTCATCTGTGTTGGTAGTTTGAAGTTAAACTTAACATCCAACACAAAGAAGTTCTCTCACCTAGAGCTTTCGACCAGGCAGTCACTCTGGTCTTCCTCAGTAGACTGACCTAGTGAGGTTTGTCACGTGGCTTCTTTGAAGCGTGACATCAACACTGGGTCAAAGGTATCTGGTAGACGATGTCGGCCCTCGTCGCGGTTGAGTAAAGGGTGATGGGCCCTGATGATTATATGTTGGATCTAAAGTTTTAACTTTAAATAGGTGTCCACTTTATTCAATTTGTATAAAATCCGTGCAGGTTTACATTCATTTAGGTGCACATACTTTTAAACACCACATGTGTAGCCTATCAGTTAAAGTCAAAAGAACTTAAATTATTATCATGTGGCAGACAAAAGTTATAACTTATATCTAATATATACTGTACATTCATCTAAAACATTCATAATTTTCAAACTAGTACTTCAACATACCAGAAAACAATTTTTAAATTAGTACAGTATGCGCCATGAAAATACATAAATCGTAATATTACTTATGAATAAAGACTACGCTTTAACTTCCAACACTAACTACAATGAATTGGGACTTACCCCATTGACCATTTCGTGCTCTTCTCTGTAGATGTACTTAATGTTGCCCCATCTTCCCGCAGCTGGCGAGACAGCACCACCGGGCAGACGTACCGGGTACGCTCGGCGTTCCAGGCCCGCATCCGCCCGGGAAGCTACAGCGTCGGCCCGACCACCCTGCACCACGTCCGCCGGAACGACAGGATCGACCCCATCTACAAGAACGACGAGATCGAGTGGTCCACCAAACACGTGGACGCCATCATGTTGTATGGTCTACTCATCAAGATGGAACCTTGCACTTAAATGCATCCAATGTTTTTAGGGCTTGAAAAACCGTTGTTTGGAATAGCGGGGGGTAGCTCAAACTTCTTGCAGATGTGGGGTGGGGTCGATAAGTGTCCCCGTGCTTAAGGTATACGTATGCTTAAGGTTTTTGGAAGATGTTCGCAGCCAAAACGCGTTGTTCTGTACGTAGCATTTCTGTGTAATTGGGCATGTGGTGTACCATTATGTCCGCGATGATGCACGTCTTTTTATTTTCAACGTAGCAGTTTTGATATTGAAGTAAATGCATATTTTAGAAGCATCCCTACTTTTATAATCCTGTGGAGTAGGCCGTAGGTTTAGGTAGTTGTCTGGTAGCCGAGGTTCTCTAAGCAGATATTAGGTGGCTGTTGTGCATGATGGTTGCGAGTATCTTTTGGGATTGCGGTTTGCACCTACTGCGATACCTTGTCAAATGAATAATATGTAGTAAATGAAAGATATTGTTATGAAAGCTGACGTCGACTTTGTTCATCTATTTAGATTGTCGTGTTGTTGATTTTATGTAGCCTGTGTTTACACTAGTCAGTCTGCAACTTTTTCCCAAGGGGAGCGGCAAACCTCTGGGCACTAAGTACTAGAATTTGCAATACCGGTTATACTCTACCTTCGTCCTTGAACAAACCTAGGGCATAATCGGCTGTTTTGGCCCCACGAAATTCGTATCCGGACTGCTAGCGCTAAAATTGGTCAAATGCAACAATATAGAGCGTAATCGGTATAGTCTACGTAAAGCGTAATCTTATGGTGCCTGTATTGAGGCGAAGCAAGCTTGTCCGAATGCAACATAACATACGTGTATAACGTTAGCCGCAGCCGTTGTGAATTTGGAGTAGAGCGTTTACAATACGACCTCTAATCCCCTCAAAAGCATACCTATTTTTTTCGTAGGGTTTTTCAAACTTTTACAAGTTCCTGTATTTAATGGACGCTCAAAAAGCGAGTGCGCGTTTGGTGTTCACCACACTATGTGTTTAACATTGTGCGGATGGCGTTCAGCACCAAGGACAGGCACCGTTTGCACGTAAATTTGTTACGAAGAATGCCTGCAAGCCTGGGGCGTAATCGGCCGTTTTGATATTACATAATTCGTAGTCAGACGGCTAAGCTGTTCATATACAACAGCATATAGCGTATGTAATCGGTACAGTCTATGAAAAGCGTAAAATAAGCTATATTAGTGCCTGGTTTATTTCATGTAGGCGGAATCAGCTTGCCCGAATGCAACGTAACATGTAGCCGCTGCCATTGTGTATTTATCGTAGACCGTTGACAGTTCCTCTCCTATCTTCCTCAAGTGCATGCCATTTTTTTCCGTAAGGTTTTGCCAGCTTTACGGACGCTCAAAAAGCGAGCGCGCGCGTGTGGTTTTCACCATACATACTGTGTGTTTTACTATGAGGATGGCGTTCAGCACCAAGGACAGGTACAGTTTGCATTAGAAACATGTGGTGCCGAGGCTGAATGAATTAGCAGATTCCGGCTACTATACTTTGACCAAATTGAATACTTATTGTTGCTGACACTGCCTGTGTGTTGTTTTGACACAAACTAGTCCGAAATTTTGAGCAGAGAGCCATTATTTTTCTGTGGGGATTGATTTTTGGCGGTAAAGTAGTTGTGGTTATCAGGGTAAATTAGACCAGCTGTTGTACACAGCTGTGTAAAAGTCAAAGTGGTACGGTCCACTCAGTCTGCGTCTGTCGGAGCCACGCGGGGAAGACCAGGAATTATTTGTTAACTTTTCGGTAAATTTTCGGCTTCCAGTTCGAAAAATCTTCATTCTAACTTGTAGAAGAAATCTTTGGGGATGTTTCTACGGCGGAGTTGTGCCGTTTTCTGGATTTTGGGCGAAGAAATCGCGGAATTCCTGACGTGGTGGATTTTGGAGAAGACGAGAAAATGGCGCCCGAAGGATGGCGGCGTGGTCGTGGGGAGGGCTGAGTTTTCACAAGGTAAGGCAACAAGCCGTGCCGTAGAATTTATTTCCCACAAACTGATAACAACACGTTTCGGTATATTCGTGGTAAATAATTTGTGTGATTTTGAAAATGCGACACGATAGTTTGTGTAGTTTTGGGTCGTTGTTCTTTCAATATATCTCACTGTGATATTCACTCTTCACGTCTTCTCCCAGAATATCACAGTTAGGTATTGCTACTCTTGAGTTAAAGTTTCAAGAGAAAAGAATGGACGTTTGTTTCTGTATACCTGGTTTAATAATTTTGCCCCTTGTCTGTATAACAGAAAGGAAACATGGGTAGAATATTTGTGGGAAATTTCCCTCATGGAAAAATTTTACCTTAGGCTATCGATATGCATGCAACTTTTCTCTTCATTTGGCTAGGTATTTCAGACTGCGATAAAATAACAAAGAAACACCACTTTAACTTGTTGTTTCTTGGATTTGCCAGCTTTTTTTCCTGATTAAGAAAAACATGTACTTGTAACATTTAGGTTATGTGTCAACCCCAAATTCTTCATTTTTTTTGCCCAAAAGTCTGTTTTTGAAGCTTCAATAATTTTAGGTATTGGATAGGAATTCTGTAATGTTGTTACATGTACATGTACATGCATATGATTTGTTTTTTGTTTAATCGTAGAACCAACTAATTAAGCATCGAACATTCTCAATTTTGTGAAACCAAAAACCTCTAAATTTTATGTACATCTGTAAAGTTAGTGTAATATTCACATAAATGACATTGTGTTAAATTATACCAACTGTACAGAGTACCCTTGAGTGTCTACAAATGCATAGCAAGTGTTAGCTGTATGTTTTAAACATGACTTTTAAGCTCTTCAAGAATGGCATCAAAAGTTTCTGGTCAACTACTAGTTGTTAAGATTTTTATTATTTGTGTATGACAGGGTTGATAACACCTTGTAACTTGACCTTGTTTTCATGTGATTCTGTAGTTAGCTGTGTACTGAGGGTTTGCCAGCTCTGCAAGTGTTCCTGTCCAGATGAGATTAGACTTGTGATGGCAGAGTCACCAGGTGATCGGATACAGGAGTATCAGGCCAGGTGAGGAAAATTGGAACTCTGCATTTTGCGTACCATTTACTTGATTATTTGAGACAAGCGTGTAACTTGGTATCTCTACATAGTTAGGTGGCTGCTGACTGATGCAGTAGTGATGATTCCTGTCTGAACCTGACAAGACTGGATTGGACCAGACCAGACCAGGCGACCCCAGAAGACCCTATAAAAATATCAGGTGAGAAAAATCTTAATTTTGCATATTGCAAATTCCACTTGCTTGGTGTATTTGAGGAAAGTGTATAACTTGTTATATCTGTATATAGTACTTGGCAACTTCTTTCTTTTGCTAATATGTCAGAATTACAGTCACTGTAACTTTAAAGAAATAACACATACATGTAGCCTGGATTTTTTTATCAATGTTACAGCATTTTTCTACATCAGATTTATTGATAAGCAAAGGGATTGTTCAAGTTTCTTATCTATCATTTAATGGCCATTCAGTGTTGAATGGGAGATGTTTTTGCATCACACTAATTATCCTTTTCTTACTACATGTAGGTGTGTCCTGACGTTCCTGTGCTGACTGGGAGAAACCTGTGATGACCGGCAACTCCTGTCCAATGCAGACCAAATGAGAGCTTAGCAAACCAGTTGACTTGAAGAGACGGTGAGAGAACATTTGAGACACAGCACAGAAGAAGACCAAGACATTGAACCGGTAAGTTTGTATTTCCAAACATACATTTGAAAGATTGACATGTTACAAACTTAAGGTTAAACCTAGTACATAGTGGTCAGTGACGGTTTTGTCTGTATTGAATATAACGTTTTTTATGGTTGGTTACATCCTTTTTTTTGTAAAATGTAATCAGATTTAGCTACAAGTACATCTGATTCTATGGAAGTTAAACATGCAGGTGATGAGATGCATATTTAGCAGAAAACTGTTACTCAAGCAACTGGATAGATTTTGAAAACTATCAGACATTTAAAGAAGCATCCACTTCTTTTCTTCAGTAAAGACAGTCAGTAGAAGCTAAGATACACTCCAAAAGAAAAAAAAATACATGTGATAGTCAGCTTTATTTGGTTTTATTTGCAAATAGCATCAATTTCCTACCAAAATATGAAAGTTTGAGAAATTTGGATGTTTCCATGCTTTTTAATTTCAATTAAACAGTATTTTAACTGGGATGGACTGATGCTCAGTCAACAGACAATGCAAACCACATTGAATTTTACACTTCAGTAACTTAGACTTTTACTTGCCTGACACTTTCCAAACAAATGCCATACTAGATACATATCGGTTGTATATTCTTTGATTAACATATCAGCATTGCCTGGATGTCATTTATACACTTAGTAATACAAATTAACACTGATATAATGTATAAAATTAATGCTCCCCAAACATAAACAGGTATGATTTATCTTGTGTCAGATTGTACAGTCTGACAGATCAGTGAAGAAAAGTGTTCTGAAGTGTTTTTTTCTTGATGATGGAATGTGTCATATGAGGTTTTGCCCACTTTGTCTAAATTCAAAGACAAAGAAGTCAAATTCTGCAAAGATAGAAATAGATTATAGCACATCTTTCCGACAGAATTCAAATTTGAAGACAAACCTTCACTGCATTTGATACAAAAATATTGTACCTGTTTGAAACAATTTTTTTGCTATATGGTATGTTGTGAGTTAAGACATCTGGCTGATAACATTTTGTAACAGTATCGAGAAACTCACCTAGATCTTCAATTCACAATTGACCGTCCCTTAAGTAATTTTTGCTGCAGGCAATATTTCCTGCAGTTGGTGATGCACAAATTACTGTAAATCACTTTATGTGGTGGCAGCAGGTGCAGCAAAAAGAAAGTTGGCAAATTATTTGTTCACGGTTATGATAAGTTCGTGGCACAGAAGTGACCGTGAATACGAAAGTACTGTGAAAAATCGTAATTTACAGTGATCTTAGACCACACCAATTCTTAATGGTCTTTCTTGGTTCTCAGATTTGCCTGCTTGATTTTTTGATGATTTCCAAAACAAATATGCTGACATTTTGGCACCAGCAGATGAAGTCCTTGACTTTGTTGCTACTGTAAATTTTTCTATTTATCTATGCAGTGATTTGATTGAAAGTTTAAAATTCATTGTCTGAACTGAACCAGCCCTGACCACAAATTCAGGTTCGCATTATTTGGAGTATCAAGGGATGCCAGGAGGCCTAGACTGCATTGCTTTATTGAAATTAATTGGTGTGACCATAGCACAACATTGTAAACATTTTCTTAGCACACCAATCGTTGCTTTCAATACACTCAGACTTGTGTTCTCTGTCTTCAAGATGACATTGTGGATGATCTGGAGACCAGACTATAGCAGAATGAAGGACCAGACTTTTGTTCGCAGATCTCAACCTGAGTGTGTAAAAGAAGATGGGGAGGTGTGAGTATGTTTCCTTA